GCTGAGGAGGGGATTGAGTTGGTGGAGCAGGTCTCTGGTGCAATCAACAAGCTGGGCAACAAGTTCATATCGAGCGCTGAAAAGGAGGCGCTCCAGGCGGCTCTTATAGGGGTATTTGAGAAGCTGACACGCTCACCCGAGGAGGTGCGGACTGCCATTTCACAGTGGCCTGAAGTGATGCGCTGGCGACGCCGGCGTGTCGCCTACGCACACCCGCTGGGCTTTAATGTGCTCGACGAGGTCAAATTTGGCCAACTTAAAGCTCAGGTCCCATGCAAAGAGGTTTATACATCGGTGCGCTCAGCAGCCAAGGTGCTCGTTGCCGCGGGGGAGCGTGTACACGGAGGGAGAGCAACACGTTGGAGGTCCGTTGGCGGCTCGTCGGGACTTGTGTGATTTGGAATACGTCAGCAGGGGTGCTGCTGCGGGTTTTATGTTTGGCGGAGGGAGTTGGGCTGGTTGCGAGGTTGTTCCCATGGACCACCTAGAAAGTGATGAGGACACACAATCGCTCCGCAGATTCCTCCCGGTGGCAGGAAAACTAACTACTTTTAATTTTCAGGACCAAGAACAATTTTTCATTCCGAACTCGGAATATATTCCGCAAAAAGAACGCTGGTGCCGCCCCGCTACCTGCCTCACGAATAAAATCTGCAGCTGGACTGGCTATCCTTCAAACAGGCTTCGAACATGCCCTCCGCAAGGTTGGCTTTATCCCGCCGCCTTCCCGCCCTGTCCACGACCTCTGCCAGCGCAAAAGGGCCCCACGCCTGGCAGCCATACAACAGAATTGCTCGGACTTGGGTTGCAAAGCACCGCATTCGCACGTCGGGGGCAAACAGCTTCATTTTGTCCAGCTTTGTGCTTAAGGAAAACATAGCGGACCGACCTGTATTACATAACTGCTGACGATATGCACTAAACATTAGACCCTTTTTCAACCCCCTGACTAAAAGGCCGTTCTGACCCGTATACCAAGCCCAGATAGCAAGCGCTATCTTTGGCAGGTACTACCTGGCCTGATAGCCGTAACTGTTGACATCTCTCGCTAAGTTCCGACTGCTGGGTGCCATCACATGCGAAAACAAGCCTTTCACACTTTGAGACATTTGGTCGCATCCCAAAGGCTTCGTAAAACAAGTCCACAAGATGTAGCAACTCAGACATTCACTCTAGTGACGTCGCTAGCAGACTAACATCGTCTGCGTACAACAGTATGGAGAGGTGCTTGCTGTCCACAAGGGGTGTGTCATGCTTACGTAACCCAGCTTCTACGAGGTCATGAGTATCACTCCTTGCTTAGACTCAAACTCTCCCCCCACTTTCTCATTCACCTTAATCACCATGGACACCTTCTCGTACGCTTTTCTCAGAGCGTCTAGCGTCTAGCAGGTACCCTATCAAAGGCCTTCTCAAAGTCAATTTGTACTATTATCAACAGCCTCTGCCCCACGATCCGATGCCGCCTGACCAGGTGTTTGCCATCTGACAGGTACAGATCTGGCTGGACATCTAGACGCCTATGCTTCCACCCACCCTAAGGCACTGATTGGGTCAGTAACCCATGGGTTACCCATCTTCAACCCCCGGTAGCTGTTTGGTAACCCCCTTGTAAGTTCCTACCCAGCGGGAGGGGTAACACGGCCCCAGGGTAAACCCCTCCGTTGCCCTGGACTATGGACATATGTATGGGCCTATAGGCTACTCGTCTTATATGCTTCCCACATCGTAAATTCCGCTTAAGGATACTTTAAAAATGTAAACGTTAGCAACCTACAGTATCGTGGTATCTCGGGAAGCATCGTTTGCCATTTCAACCTTAAGGTCTCTAATGCTAGCATCACACACGCAAGGAATAAGCAATAAGTACCTATGTCTTGGCCTGTTTGGCTTGTAGATGAGTACAGGAGAAGGGGCGAATGCTGGCAGCACACACGCAAGTCGACGACAGGTCTTCACTAAATGGATGCCTTTGGTTGTCATCCAATGTTATATAATAGTTGTCATTGTGAAACATCAGGCAGTCAGTCCTGAGGTCGGCCGACATATTACCGGCCGGGGGTGGTCGTACGCATATGTGCATGCTGCTTTACCTCCATTGATACTCCTGACAAGCACATTCAAGCTGAATCACAGCTAATTAGCTTGTAAGCTCATATAGTCTGGTCTTTTAATTAGACGGACATGCTACAATAAGCGATGACCACTATCACGAATTCAGTCAATCATATTCACTGCTGGCATTGTTCCTATTGACCATAGATACAATGCACACATATAATCCACGTTGCAATACTGGTGCGTATGGTTGCAAAAATGGTGGCGTTCTAGCGTTCGCGCGCGCGGACCACCACAACAAGACCCTCGACTGTCTTTCTGCAGCACAGGCCCACACTTATGGTGCACCTCATTTAGCAAGACATCCAGTGACATCCAAGGATTTTTACCTGAGGGTGCCTTACACTTCGCCGGGTGTGACCGTGTTCGGGGTGTCGGATCTCCCGCCCAAGACCTTCGACGCTCTTAGGAGAGCCTGCTCTGAAAACGAGCAGACTCTGGATAGTGTTGCATAGGTCGTGCCTAGAGCTGGAAGTAGCAGGTCGGGACGGGGCACTTAAGCTACTGGCCGACCTTAAGGTAATGTAAGCTTACATTGCCGCCCGTTGGCTGGTCCGCGAGTTTTAGGTCTTGGGTCCGGAGCGGCGGTAAGTGCCTGGACCTTTTGATAGGAATATTTATTGGCTTCACTGGCGGCTTCTCGCTGGCGGCGGTCCCCAATATGCTCTGCCTATGTATGCCTCTTCGTCCTCCTCCTTGCATCTATGCTGCAGCTGTGTGCCTTATCCTTAGGTCTAGGTTTCTACACAAGGCATGTTTTGGTGCGTCAATGTTGATAATTGGGCATTCACAAGTGATTGGTGAAGACATGTATGTTTGCGTGTGTAGACAGGCGAGACAGGTGCAGGTTACCCTGTCTGTTACCCATCAGTAGTGTATTACCCCAACCCCTTTGTTACCCCTCGGTAAGGGGTTACCCCTACCCCGGGGTTAGGTTACCCACCTCCCTTCGTACATAGCCACATGGGTAACCCCTAACCCTACACCCTGGGTTACGCTTAAGGGGGGGTTACCCCCCGTTTTATGCCATAGGGTCCCTCCCCCATGTAGTCGGTGGGCGAGAGGGACAACCGAATGCCGCCTTTTCATACAGGCAGGTTTACAGGCAGGTTTACAATATGTGGACGGACAGACAAACAGACAGACAGACACACAGATGTTATTACATTGTATCGTTCGTCGCATTTCCGAAGGGTGAACGTGAGCAAGAGGCAAAAGCGAGTGCCACCTTGTCGCTTCCGGGCTTCTCTCCGCTTTTGAGGAAAGCGGACCGTGAGACGGTCCCCGGGTGATATATCCCTACTACAAATTTGGTCAGAAACCGTTCCTTCAACACCGCGATGAAAAAAGCCAAAATAACTCTACCTCTCGGACCTTCCTTTCAAGGCCATGATCATATACATGTAATACGTGCAATGGCATCATATGTGGTTTTTTTCGAACGTAAAGAAGTGTCACTCTTATTCTACCTGATCACCTCTGCCGTACTCTTACTTAACGCACTATACACTGCTCGCAAGATACGACCTTGCTAGCCGTCATCACTACGTACCTCCCCGCCGCAACCCCGCCGGCAGATGCCCCGCCCGCGCTCCCCAAACAGGAGAGCTGCAACCGCCCGGAGGTAACCGAACAACGAAATAACCGCCCCTACCTCAACACCCCTCAAAAAAAACGCAGCGTCACCCATTTCCCAAGTCCAGGAAACGGCCGCGCCCCAAGCCAGGCAGAAAATAGCTCTGTGAAGCACGTTGGAAGGCCGAGGGCCCGTCCGACCATCAGGGCACTACACACCCTTCCTCCGCACACACCCAGTTAGGTGCTGCTCCTCCGCATTGATAGCACCAACTGGTGCATATACCGACCTGTGCTGACGTGTGCAGGCACGGCAAGGCCTTTAGCCTTTGGGATACTGTTGAGGTAAAATTTTAATGGAGGATATTTTCCTCTCAGAGGATATTTTCCAGAGATGAACAGGTGCAGAGCATCAGGAGGGGTCACGACACTTCATATTTATGTACAGTTATGTTTGGCGGACGAAGAGAGAGAGAGTTCAACTCGTTGGCAGCGGTTGACAAAGCATTACTTACCCGCCTAATCAACCACGACTTTTATCCCCTACACGACAAAATCCATGCTGTCGTACGAGAATAGAAGGAAGTACGAAACAGAACTCCGCGGGAATCCGGAAGCCAGGTTGCATATGCATCGTTGGAGCTCAACGAAGAACCACCTTCAAAACCGAAGTCGTTATAAGCAGGAAATCAGGAACTGTACATATTCTGATGCCTCTAAAAATGGTCAAGCATAATTGAAATTTGGAACGGTTGCAGTACCGTACGAACAACCTCCTGTCTACATGGATGGGTAGTCCATCACTTCTGAGACTGAAGAGCAGGTGATCCCACCGAGGGCCGCAGCGGTCTCAGCCGCAGCGAGCAACACGCCCCTGTGTTGGTGCTGGTGTTGGTGTTGGTATGAACACACGAACTCCCGTCCTTGCGGGAGATAGCTTAGGCGGTCTTTCCGTTGGGGCTGAGCAGCAGCCCCTGGCCAATGTCAGGCCTGGTCAGATACTTGTAACGCTTACACACCGCGTATGGCGTTTTACGGAACTTGTCCAGTTCCGTCTGTGCAGCTGCTCACAGCGCCTGTTGACCGACCCCTGCCGACTACCGCGCCCCTGGTCGCGTCTGCAGTCTGTAATGTCCGTGCGGGTCTCGTACCATCGTACCGTTGTACCGCCGTACAACACAACACGAGTGTACAGCGGGATCCTGCATAACCACCTGCGCTATCGTCCAGCTGCTTGCGGCGGACGGATGGCAAAACGTATTTTTGAACAGCAAATCCATTGCTCATCATTTCAAAACCCACAGCTGCTACACGATTACCCTCTTGCGGGTGAGACCCACGCTGCGCTGCCGCACCAGGCGCATCCGCATTGGCTGCGCCGGCTGCGGCGCTGCGCCGCCGCCCGGCAGCCATCCGGGCCCTGAATCTGATGACCCGTGGGTCAGTGCGGCTGCTGGCCCACAGGTCAGCCGTCCGCCCGCATCCAGCCGCTCCACCACCCTCGTCATCTGTAACGCTTCCTGGGACCCCTCCTGCTGCTGCTGTTGTTGTTGTTGTTGTACGGGAAGCTGCAGTACGGGAAGCTGCTGCTGCTGCTGCAGCCAGTGTCCGCCGTGGTGCGGCTGTCCTAGAGGCCGTACCGCGGTGTACGAGGCGGTCCCGCTGCTGCCGCTCATGGCGCCGTCAAAGGCTGCAATACTGCCATCGCCGCCGCAGCAACAGCTGCCGCTGATGCCAATACTGCCGTACGTTCGGAGGAATGCCTGCTCCTTTCCGTACATTCTAGCCGAAGCCGAGTAGGCGCGACGGTCAAGCCGTTCGACTTCCGGGTCGGAGTCCCAGCATGGGAGGCCCGTCCCAGCGGTGCAGTGGCACTTAACGGCGGAGTCATGCTCGGTCCTGAGCTGCTGCTGCTGCTGCTGCTGCGGGGAGTACTGGTGACCTGATTGCTGCTGCTGATGATAATGTTGGTGGTGTTGATATTGTTGCTGGTGCTGATGCTGGTTCTGGACAAGCCGATCGCGCAGCGCCGGTGCCGGCCGATAGGCTTCAGCGCCCCGGCTACCGCTGCTCAGCCCTGGCCCACCCGCAACACCCCCTTCAGGCCGATCACGTTCACGGTCCCCCCCTCGAGCTATCCCCGCCGTCGCCGCCGCTGCAGTCGCTGCCGCCGCCGCCGCCGTCGCCAGCATGGGACTAGCGCAGCTTCCGCCAGAGCCGAGAACCTTGGAGTTGTTATTGCTCCGACACTGCTCCAGGCACTCTGTCCCTTCCTGGTCCACATACATCGTTGAATATATGGGAGGGTAGCCGCTCCAACACATGCCCCCAGGCGACGGCGCTGAGGCTGCGACATAACCTTGGCCCTGGGTTTGCAGGTACATAGCGCCGTCGACCAGCCTGCCGTGGGCCAATGCCGGCAGGGCTGGTGGTGTCGGATGGCGTTGGCCACTCAAGCATTGTACGATGGCCCAGTGCTGCGAGGTTCCGTACGGCAGGAGGACCTCATGTGGGTCGGCGGCGGCGACGACGGGGGCGGTGGAGCGGGCTGAGGAGCGCTGGTCAAAGGAGTGACAGTGGCGGAGGAGGCTCGGGGAATCGCTCGTTGGCGGGTTTGGGGACGGCAACGGCTGCGCGGACAATTCGGCGTGCAGTGGAGGATCAGTACGGCCTTGGCGCGAAGCAAGCAGGCTGGCAGGTAGTGGGGGTTTGGAGAGGCCTAGAAGCCTGAGCAGCGCCGCAGGCTTTCCTGTAAGGCAAGGCGCGGAATTGCATCGGTGCAGCGCGAGCTGCACCTCGGCAGCTGCGCCAGACCCGTGGGGTTCCGTCGTTGCTATTCACGTTTCCAGTTTGCGCTTTGTGATTGGGTGCCGGAATCCAGATACACTGGATCAGAGCTAGCACCGATTCCCCGTCCAACGCCTGCAGTAGGACACAGGCGCTATGTGAATATCCTTCCGAGTGCGCTGTTAAATGTTAAGGTGTGTAGTAGGATAATTATTTGGGCATTTCCGGTACCAACCGGAAACGTGGAGCACATGGCAAGGTCCTCATTCAGGGTTGTCAAACACCGGCAGAGGTTCCGCCATGAGGACTCCATGCCAAAAGATAATATCCATCGCGAGATTTTTGAAGGGAGTGCAGGCCTTGAATGACCCACCTTAAGGATCTGTCGCAGTTGTAGAGACCTTCGCCTCGATACAAAGTCGACAGCAATCCACCTGCACAAGTCCTATTCGATGCTGCGCTCCTTCAATTTCTGTCAATGCTTGCCATACCGTGCTCCGATCCCGTTAATAACAACGTTATAGTTTATCGACTCTCGTCAAGCTAACACGCACGGAGTCGTCAAACTCCCATATAACTTACTAAGCCCCTAATGTACAGGAATCCATCGCGATAACGGAGTGATTTTTTGGAGACCACAACGAATGAGTAGGGAGCCTGTAAGTACGGAAACTTGCCGCGACAGTTAATGCGCAAATCTAGCCAGGTCGCTTCTGGCGCCATATTAGCTTAAACGTGCATATCTAGGCATATATTATAATTTTATACCTGAGCTTGCGTGCTAAATCTCTAGCTCAGCTGACCGCAGGTCGACTTCAAAAGACGACCAGGTAACAAGGGAAAGGTCCTTTCCCTTGTTAGTTACTCTTTGCACTGGAGGTTTGTGCCTATGGGTACTGTTTCAATACCTTTGGGCTTGCCCCATATGCGAATCCATGGCACCAACAGTCAGCGCTGCACGCACATCAGAGCCTTTCGTTTTGGTGGTGACATCCCCCTAGTGTTTGACGCAGCTGACTGGCGATACATATTTACTTATGTCTTCTTGACTCCGTTTAAGCACAATGAGCGGAGTGTATAATAAATCGTTGCAGCCGCGACGACAAGCTCGCTGGAGTTTCGCAGCAATCCGACGCACGCCTGCTGGCCCGCATTTTTATGTGCGAAGGTTCAAGAAACGAATTCTCATTCTGATTCTCATTCATAGGCTGGTCATCAAAATTATCGCTGTACCCGGCTTCCCGTTTCGCATCGGCTACACCCGCAGCGTTCGAGCCGCTTACTGCAATCTTAATGCCCCAGCGACAACATGAAGCCTGCCTCTCCCCTAACCTCTCCCCTAACCTCTCTCTCTTCCCCCCTCTCTCTCTAGGCCCCGCGCTCTCTGACTGACTGCTTGTGATGTCTGAGAGAAGGGGAGAGGCAGGCAAGCACAACCGCACGCAGAGAGGCAATGTATACGGGCACAAACACCTCATCCGCCGGCAGGAAGCTGCGATCGCAGCTGACGTGCAACGACCTGCCAATACCACCCGGGATTCAAGCAGGAAAGAGCTGGGAAACGCAGCCAGCTTTGTTGCTACGGATCCTAGAGCTGCTGCGGCTATGCCGGGTCAATGTACGGCGCGGGGGCCATAGCACAAGACACGATTAGCACAATACAATGTACGTGACATAGAAACCAACCGAACAGCGGGTGTGAACAGCATTGCATGATGCGGAACGGAGCGGTCACAGCAGCAGCAGCAGCAGTAGCAGCAGTTTGCCGTGACTTGGGCATCGCATAGCATCGCATGGCATTGCGCGGATGACGATTACCCGTTAAACTACACAAGCGCATTGGCCGCCTGACGCCCTTGTAATGGTCACATGCTACGGAACACACATCCGTCTCCTCCAAACACTCGACCTCTACACGCGCACATTCACTCACTCACTCACCCACTCTCACCTCGTCACGTCCTCAGCGCGGCTCGGATCACCAAACAGACACACCTTCACACTCTCGCTCACTTGCTGAGTCACTCACTCCTCATGCACCCATCGGTGTATGTTGGGGGGGAAAGACGAACCACACACGATTGAAGCTGCTGCCAGGGCAAGAGAGTATCAAACGTATAGGACTGACCGAAAGGCGTCCGTGAAGACCGTGACCTCGGGATGACGAAGTGAAGAAGATGTCGGAAAGACTACCTACCTAAGCCGCCAGAACTAAAAAAGAAGAAATAGTATTGCCAAGCCGTAAAGAAGTAGGTGTAGAAAAGTAGGTGTGAAGGCGGCGGAAAAGTAGTAAAAGCAGTGCTGTCGTAAAGCTGGCATAAAGTTGCTGGCCTGGAGAATTAGCTGATTTGCTGGTACTGAAAGGCTGTCAGTATGCAAGTGCTCCTCCCAACCCCCCAAACTAAAACGCGCGACCGACCCGACCGACCCGACTATCCTAGTCCGGCTAGCCGACCGACGCCAACGCGATATATGTTGGGGGGGGGGAAAGAGGCGTTTCTCTTTTGTCTTTGCCAGAGCCTTTGCACAGATACACGCACAGACACACGCACAGACACACGCACAGATACACGCACAGACACACGCACAGACACACGCACAGACACACGCACAGACACACGCACAGATACACGCACAGACACACGCACAGACACACGCACAGACACACGCACACGCACACGTGCAGTGCCCCCCACGTCTCCAGTTGCTGCCCCCACACCGTCGCATCGTAACACCCCTTTCCACACACCGAAAAGGCCGTACGGCAGTACGATATCTTTTCGCAACACACGAGGGTCTTTATGAAAAGTTATTAAACGCCTCCGGGTGTAGGACTCCCCGTCTTCCTCCACGCTCTGGCGAACAGCGTCGTGGTGCCAAGTCCTCCTAGAATGGTGTTACCGCGCTAAGCCCCTATAGCGGAGAACTCACTCCACCTCCGGGACGCTAAACACTCCAAGCACCTATCCATCCCCCGCCCCTTCCAAGAGAGCTGACCCTCTTCCCCGTATCCCCCCCCACACACACACACCCACACCCACACACGGGCCCCCTAGAAAGGCACGGCATGTCTGTGCGGTGCGCGGCCTCACATGCAGCCGGCCGTTCTTGCTGTTGGTCCCCAAACCTGCCGCCGCTCTTCCTGCCGCCGCCGCCGCCGCCGTCGCCGCCGCCGCCAGTTGTGGCAGAGCATAATAACCCGTGCTTGCGCTCCTATGCGGGCTGGCCGGCACTGCCGTACCGGTAATCCTGGCGGACCAGCTGTGTAACGCCACGCAGTCGCTCAAGCATCCATTCACTCACTCACAAGCAGTGGTACCACCTGTTGAATGTATGTATGTATGTAGCACATTCTCGCCATAGCTGGCATCGCCATCCCGGCTATTACGTGACTACTGCTACTGCTGTTGCAGCCGCTTCAATGCCTGGTAGGACGCGCGCAGCTCCTCCGTGATGCTACTGCCGCCGCCGCCGCCGCTGCTGCTGTTGCCGCCGCTGCTGGAGCTGCTGCGAAACCTTGGGACGCTACCTGACCGCCGCAGAGCGGCCCGACGGCTCTCTGGACCCAGCGCCGCCGCCGCCGAAGCCACAATCGCCGCCGCAGCTGCGGCTACCGAGTCGGGCCGTCGGCGGCCGCGAGCCGCAGAGGGCTGGCGGTGCGGCGGCTCTTCTGGCGCCATCCCCGTCGCCGCCGCCGCCGCCGCAGCAGCAGCAGGGCGACCCTGCATCCACGGATACGCGGCGGCCTCCGGTGCGAATGACTGTCCGGTGGGGCCGCCCTGTCGCAGCTGGGGCGTGGTGGCGGCGGCGGCGGCTTCCCCAGGGCGAGACGTGACCCGCCGCGTGCTGGCCGGCCGCGTACGTACGGCACCACTAACACCAGCACTGCCGGCAGCGGCGGCGGCAGCGGCAGGAGTGGCAGTGACGTTAGCGGTGGGAGCTTTCTGTGAGACGGATCCGGATCCCACGACGGCCTCCATCCGAAACCCAGATCCAAATCGAGATCCAGATCCAGATTCGGGTCCTGGTCTTCGGCGAGAGGCGTGAGGCCCCTGGCTCGGTGCTGCATGTTGCGCCTTGGTGGAGCTTCGGCTGCTGCCGTACGGCTGCACGGCACCGCCGCTACCGCCGGTGTGGCCCGTCAGGGCATGCATGTGTACGGTGGAGCCCCCCCCGGCCGCACCTCCACTACCCGCGGCAGCACGCAGACGGGAGCCGCCTTTTGCTGCCGCCGCCGCCGCAGCTGCAACTGCCGTAGCTTGGCCCGAGGCCGCCTTTTCGAACACGGCAGGACCTGCCGTACGGCGGCCTGCGGGTGTCACGATGGGAGCGGTACCAGCGGGGGTGGCCGCGGTGGTGCCGACGGAGGAAGAAGGACCAGGTGAATGCTTGCCGCCGTACACATAGCCTGGGTCGCCGCCGCCGCGGCGGTGACCCCGGGCCCCTTCGTCGTCGCCGCTGCTCCCGTCACCCTCCGCGTCGCGACCCCATTCCGCCTCCCCGGTGCTTCCAACACCGCCAACGCCAACGCCAACTCCAACGCGAGCAGATTGCCCGGCGATGCTGACTACACCGTCCTCATCCTCATCCTCATCCTCGTCATCGTCATCGTCGTCGTTATACTCCTCTCCATCGCCGCCGCCGCCGGTACTGCCGTAAGACAGCCTGCTACCAACGTCGCCGGCTCCACCGCCGCCGCCGGTGCTGCTGTCGTACAGCAGCCCGCCGCTAAGGTCGCCGGCACCGTCGCCGCCGCCGTCGCTGCCAGCCAGGCACGACACCACTCGCCGCCACACCACTGAGTGGTCACTGTCCGGAGACGAGCCACAACCTTCCACGTGGCCCTCCCCCTCCTCCTCCTCCTCCTCCCCCTCATCACCATCATCACCATCATCATCCTCATCATCACCATCATCAACCCCCTCCCCCTCATCCGCCGGTTTTCCACTGCCGCCGCTGCTGTGCCAGCCACCAGCGGCAGTAGGGCCATCACACACCTCGCGGGATGCAGCAACCGTCGCCACCGCAGCTGCAGCTTTGAGTCCCCGTACGACACCGCTGTGTGCCTCCCCGGCGCCGCCGCGGCTGATGGGCGCGTGCCCTTGTGCTGGCGGCGATGCCAGCGACGGCGCCACCGACAGCTGCGGCGGTGAAACTGCCGCCGCTACCGCCGCCCGCTGCCCCCCATCCCCGGTCAGGCCCGATGGCGCAGCGGAGGCGGCTGCACCTAGGAGGGCGATACGCAGCCGCTCCAGGTCTCTGACTCCAACAGCTCCGGGCCCACCACCACCAACGACCCACGGGTCGGGCGTGTCTCCTCCTCCTCCTCCTCCTACCACTTCTGTTGGTGCTCTTATTCCCCGAGCTGCACTTCCCCCGAACCTGCCTCCTCCACCACCAGCAGCAGCGAAGGGCCCCCTCACTCGCATCCACTCCCCTCCAGTCTCTCGGCGCTCGTTCCGCCGCTGCCTGCCATCCTCATGACCGTCAGGTTTTACGTTGCAGCCTCCTCCTCGTTCCACTCCCTCCTCCTCCTCCTCCTCCTCCTCCTTCCCCTCCTCTTCATCGTCATTTGTTTGGCTATGCTGGCGCTCCTCCTCCTCGTTCTCCTCCCCCTCCTCCTCCTCCTCCTCCTCCTCTTCATCGTCGTCGTCTTTCCCTCGGAAAGCAGGCGGGCCCCTTCCGCTGTAGGGCATCGCACCGAAGTGACTGCTTCCGCCCCCCGCTACCCGATGCACCCGACCGCCACCGTTGCCACCGCCGCCACCTCCCTCCGCAGCGCCCTTCCCAATGGTGACGTCATCGCGCCCGCGCTCGTCGGGCCGCGGAGTGAAGCTGGGCGCAGGCAGCGACGCCAGCGGCCCCAATCGGGGTGTCGACTCCGAGGAGGAGGAGCTCTCTTTTACGTCCTCTTCTCCGCTCCCCTCCTCCATAGACGCTCGAAGAAACCAGTCCTGGCGCTGCATCACCGCTATCGCCGCCGACGCCGCAGCAGCCTCTCCCGCTTTCGTCGCTGTCTTTGTCGTTACGACCTCTGCTGCCGCCGCCGCGGTTGCCGCCGCCGCCGCCGGCGCCGCTGCCGCTGCCTCGGAGATCGCCACCGCCGCTGCCTCCTTCGCCGCTGCCCTCAGGCGCGCCGCCACTACAGCCCCTAGGCTAGGAGCTTCGGAGGGCGCCACGGAGGGCGGGCAGGAGGAGTCTTGGGAATGCGTGGAGGCTAACAACGGACGACGGAAGGCGCCTGTGTCCCGTGTACGACCAAAACCGTTACCGCCGCCGCCGCTGCCGCAATCGCTATCAGAGTCGGCACCGTACTTGCGTCGATCGCAATAGCCGTACCCGAAGTCGGACGGCGCAGTGTCGTCCGTGTCGGTGCCGCTGCCAGGCCGCTGCGGCGGCCGCGAACGAGAACGCTGCCGCTGCGCACCACCAACACCACCACCAACACCACCATCAGGAGCACCAGCAGCCGGTGTTGGTGTGGGCGAGAGGTCAAATGCGACGGTTCGGGCGGCACCAGTGGTGATCGTAGCTGCGGCGAAGGCCCCGCCACCGCCACCGCTGAGAACGCGTCCCCGTAGACGGCGGGGTCGGCCCTTCTGCTGCATGTTATGTCCCCCCAGCGCTAGAGGAACTGTGGCGCCGCCGCTGCTGTCATCGCTTTCACTGTCACTCGAGTCAAGCCCAGTTCTACCTGAGCCGCTTCCTCCATCCTCAATGCCGTTGCCCCGGCTGATTCTCCCCAGGGGGACGCGGCCGGGAGCGTCCCCGCGGCCTCCGCAGCCGCCGCCACCGCCGCCGGCTGGTGCACCGCCCGCAGACGATCGTCGCCTTCTACCGGCGACTAGGACCATGTTCGCCCAGGCGGAGGCGCCGCTACCGCTGCCACTGGTACATCCACCTCCGCTGCTGCTGCTGGTGCGGGTAGTGGCGGCGGCGGCGGCGGCATCGGAGGAGCCTCCTCCTCCTCCTCTGCCGCCGCCGGACCATTGAGGCTCCGATAG